TCGTAATCAAGTCCCACTTTGTCACGTCCCCCATCCACAACCATCAAGGCCTTCTTTCTTCCACACCCCACATCAAATCACAATAAATCCTTATCTCCTTCCCTCCCATCCCCCACAACATCAATACACCCCTCGAACCCCATATCTGATGCCCCGCCAGGAACCTCCCTCTCAACCACGTCAGGAGCCAGCCCCACCAGGCGTATGATTGGTTTCTTATGGTCATTGTAATAAAATATTACAATTGTATTTATTCTTAAAATTATTGTATTTATTCTTAACATTTACTTTTATCATTATTATTTTTTTTAGAGTTTAAATATATGCAGTTGTAACTATAATATTTTTCATCATTATTACAACCTTTTACACTAGATTTTTAGGCTGGATTATTTATGAAACAGAGGTTATTCCAACAAAGATGACATGGCTCAAATTGAGAGAACGACGAATTAAAGGAAATTAATACTGTAGTAAGCAAAAAGAATTATGGTATAGTTAATTACGCTTTGAATAATGTAAATAAGCATAACTAATTTGTTAAGTAATGTAAGTAGACTATGAAACATTGAGATGACTTGAGTGGAATATTTGAAATATAGTAAAAAGACAACTATAGCTTCATATGCTCATAACAAACATTAATTTGTGTAATAGTCGTCTTGCATGACCTTAATAGGCCTAATTAAGGTGTCAAACTTACAAAATCCCAACAATGAAAAAATCTAATTTTGATGTTGTCCAAAAGGTCCAATGTGCACTGAATTTAAAGAGTTAAAAAGAAAAGTTTATACTTAATTTTGAAAAATAATGTTGAAGTTGAGTCCTCTTGAGGTTTACTATGATATTACTTGATATAAACTGGGTTTCTTGATGATATTAATTAATTTTATTTAGATAAAATCTGGAATACTTTTAACTAACAGTTTAATCTTCCACTCTGGCTTCTTTCTCTCTCCAATCTCAATGTTCACATAATTCATTGTTGAACACGTGGCTATGGAATGAATATTATTGATGATTAATTGAACAGATTAATGAAATTGTATAAATTAGGGGAATGAATACTAGGCCAGCCTTTATGATGAGTAATTAATAACAAAGGTGTATGAACAAAAGTTAATATTTTAAGAAACTTAAAATGAATGAAGTGAGATGAAATATTACAATTCCCATGTTATTCTTATGGAGAATAAATAAACTGTTGTAGTTTGCTTCTTTATGCGGATATATTTTAATCAAATTAGGCAATTTGGTTTATTTCATACTAAGCTATCAATATTTCCAGAGATGCCAGCAATAGGTTTTTATTGTAGTCAGTTAGTAATTTTAGGTAATTTTTTAATTTGGATTAAAATCGAGCTGGTTTCTACTTCAATAACCTAAAAAGTGCCTAGTATTGTTCAATACCAGCTAAATAATGTAAATAGACATATAAAACATTAATTTGTGTAATAGCGTCGTCGTGCAACCGAGGTCACATGAGGTCCATTCCAGGCTGTATAGCAACACTACTAAGGAGTGGGCTAACCTAGGGTACGTCATTTTATGTTCATAACAATGTGTTTAACACATATCAAAAGAAAAACGAGAAAAAAATTTAAGAGGAGATGCCAGCAATAGGTTTTTATTGTAGTCAGATTTAGTAATTTTAGGTAATTTTTTAATTTAGGTTAAAATTAAGGTTGTTACAACTTTAATTAGCTAAACACTGCTTAGTATTGTTCATTACCCTCTAAATAATGTAAATAGACATATAAAACAATAATTTGAGTAATAGCATCTTCGTGACACCGAGGTCACATGAGGTCCATTCCAAGCTGTGTAGCAACACTACTAAGGAGTGGGCTAACCTAGGCTACGTCATTTTTTGTTCATAACAATGTGTTTAACACATATCAAAAGAAAAACGAGAAAAAAATTTAAGAGGAGATGCCAGCAATAGGTTTTTACGGTAATCAGTTAGTAATTTTAGGTAATTTATTAGTTTATATTAATATCAAGGCGATTTCTACATTAATAAGCTAAAAAGTGCCTAGTATTGTTCAATACCAGCTAAATAATGTAAATAGACATTTAGAACATACATTTGTGTAATAGCATCGGCGTGCAACCGAGGTCACACGAAGTCCATTCCAGGATACATAGCTACACTATTAAAGAGTGGGCTAACCTAGAATAGGTAATTTTTGGTCCATAACCATGTGTTTAACGCGTATCAAAAGAAAAACTAAAGAAAAATTTAAGGACAAATGCCAGCAATAGGTTTTTATGGTAGTCAGTTAGTAATTTTAGGTAATTTTTTATTTGGATTCAAATCGATGCGGATACTTTGGTGTGGTTTGAAACTAGTTGTTTAATTCAAAGTTACCTATCTCAACTATAAAGGAGTGGGCTAACCTAGGCGACGTGTTTTCTAGTTCGTAATGATGTAATAAAAATATTTTGAAAGAATAAAGAAAATCGTGCCAAAGGGATAGGCCAGCAATAGAAATTTATGGTAATTTATTGTTCTATTGAGGCAGATTTTAAATAATGCATTAAATTGATAAATAATAATATTTTTTATTGAAATGGTGTTAGGGATTGTTTATTTAGGTGTAACTATCGTGTATAAACGAAAAAGTTGGTTTTCAGTACATTAGGTTCTTATGGAACCGAGGTCACACCAGCTACAATCAAAATGGCCTATCTCAACTATAAAGGAGTGGGCTAACATAAGCGACGTGTTTTCTAGTTCGTAATGATGTAATAAACATATTTTGAAAGAATAAAGAAAATCGTGCCAAAGGGATAGGCCAGCAATAGAAATTTATGGTAATTTATTGTTATATTGAGGCAGATTTTAAATAATGCATTAAATTGATAAATAGTAATATTTTTTATCGAAATAGCGTTAGGTATTGTTTATTAAGGTGTAACTAACATGTATAAACGAAAAAAGTTGAGTTTTAGTAAATTAGGTTCTTATGGAACCGAGGTCACACCAGTTTAATTCAAAGTTACCTATCTCAACTGTAAAGGAGTGGGCTAACCTAGGCGACGTGTTTTCTAGTTCGTAATGATGTAATAAACATATTTTGAAAGAATAAAGAAAATCGTGCCAAAGGGATAGGCCAGCAATAGAAATTTATGGTAATTTATTGTTCTATTGAGGCAGATTTTAAATAATGCATTAAATTGATAAATAATAATATTTTTTATTGAAATGGTGTTAGGGATTGTTTATTTAGGTGTAACTATCATGTATAAACGAAAAAGTTGGTTTTCAGTACATTAGGTTCTTATGGAACCGAGGTCACACCAGCTACAATCAAAATGGCCTATCTCAACTATAAAGGAGTGGGCTAACATAAGCGACGTGTTTTCTAGTTCGTAATGATGTAATAAACATATTTTGAAAGAATAAAGAAAATCGTGCCAAAGGGATAGGCCAGCAATAGAAATTTATGGTAATTTATTGTTATATTGAGGCAGATTTTAAATAATGCATTAAATTGATAAATAGTAATATTTTTTATCGAAATAGCGTTAGGTATTGTTTATTAAGGTGTAACTAACATGTATAAACGAAAAAAGTTGAGTTTTAGTAAATTAGGTTCTTATGGAACCGAGGTCACACCAGTTTAATTCAAAGTTACCTATCTCAACTGTAAAGGAGTGGGCTAACCTAGGCGACGTGTTTTCTAGTTCGTAATGATGTAATAAACATATTTTGAAAGAATAAAGAAAATCGTACCAAAGGGATAGGCCAGCAATAGAAATTTATGGTAATTTATTATTCTATTATGAGGTCCATTCCAGGCTGCATAGCTACACTACTAAAAAGTGGGCTAACCTATACTACGTCATTTTATGTTCATAACAATGTGTTTAACACATATCAAAAGAAAAACGAGAAAAAAATTTAAGAGGAGATGCCAGCAATAGGTTTTTTACTATATTTAGTTAGTAATTTTAGGTAGTTTATTAGTTTGTATTAATATCAAGGTGATTTCTACATTAATAAGCTTAAAAGTGCCCAGTATTGTTCAATACCAGATAAATAATGTAAATAGACATTTAGAACATACATTTTTTTAATAGCATCGGCGTGCAACCGAGGTCACACGAAGTGCATTCCAGGATACATAGCTACACTATTAAAGAGTGGGCTAACCTAGAAGAGGTAATTTTTTGTTCATAACCATGTGTTTAACGCGTCTCAAAAGAAAAACTGAAGAAAAATTTAAGGGGAATTGCCAGCAATAGGTTTTTATGGTAGTCAAATAGTAATTTTAGATTTGGATTCAAATCGATGCGGTAACTACTTAATTAGCTAAAAAGTGCTTGGTGTTGTGCAATATGCTCTACATAATGTAAATAGACATATAAAACATGAATTTTAGTAATAGCGTCGTCGTGCAATCAAGGTCATATGAAGTGCATTCCAGGCTGAATAGCTACACTAGTAAAGAGTGGGCTAACCTTGAATATGTCATTTTTTGTTCATAACCATGTGTTTAACATATATCAAAAGAAAAACGAGAGAAAAACTTAAGGGGAGATGCCAGCAATAGGTTTTTATGGTAGTCAGCTAATAATTTTATCATTTGGAAAAAATTGGAGGTGGTTACTACTTAAAATAACCTCAAACGTCTTTAATATTGTTCTTTATTCTCTAAATAATGAAATAGTAGTTTAATTTCATTCAACGTATTGTACAGTTTTATACATATATATTACTTAACCTTCATAATCAACGCTGTGCGTGTACCGCCAAACGCCATCTTGGCCGTGTTTCGCAAAAAAAAATTGCCGCCACTTGATATTTTGGAGGTTATGTCAGCTGCTTTGTGACGAATCCTACTGTGACGCCATCATTGTTGTGACGTTTTACTGTGACGTATATTCGTCGGAGGGGCGGTAGGAGAAGTGGAATGGGTTATTGCTGTTCTATTGCCAGTTTCACGCTGATTTAAAATGATATTTTATTAGATTCAAAAAGATAAATAACTTACTTTTGTTGATCAGGCAATACTTTGAAAAGTTCGTGGAAATACTTCCCAATAGAATCTGGCTCTGGGAACATTGCAGGCTAGGACAGGCCTAAGGCCTATTCCTTGAGAGGTTGAGTTGACAATTATAAAATCATTCGGCTTTTCTGGAATGAATATTATTTACATGATGCACTAGCTTTATTCGATTAGAAGGTTATCTCAGGATTACCGACTTTTGGATAACGCGAACCGAATTATAACCGAAATCACGATTAAACGCCCGTGGAAATCGAAATTTGAACGACGCACGAACACCAAAACAAAACACGACGCCAAACCGAACAGGAACGTCAAGAACAGCCGACGGACGACGACGACGACAACGACGCGACGCTAACTTCCATCTGGCTGAGAGAAGAAGAAGAGAAGCCAAGCCAAACAAACGCTAAACGGATAGCGCTGGGTTCACAACGATATGGTAGGCATACGGTTAAGTATCGATCGTCGTAGTATGAAAACAAATACTATCAAATATCGTAAATCGATTGGCTTCCATAGCGCCAACCAACCAACCAAAACGTAAACAAACAAGTTTAGCTGCTAACTCATGTTTTCCAATTTTTATTTTATTTATAAAAATGTCATCGTATTTACTTATTAATTGTTTAATGTAAAACAGATTGCAAATAACACTTTGTTAAAAATAACCAAACCAACCAACACCGACAGGCTGAATTCTTATCTCAGGATTAGTGTTGCCTACAGTATTATTTTGAGGCTTCTGATTGGCTGAGGGAACATCATTACCGCGACGATACGGATGATGCCATCGGCCTCGGTGGTGTAGTGGATAGAGTGCTGGGCTGATGATCCGAAGAACCCGGGTTCGAATCCCACCCGTAGCTTTATTTTTTTGTATGGCATTTTTTTCATTATCAACAAGTTTGGTTGGTTTGGTTAGGTTATGACGGTTTAATTTTATAATTAAAACATTATGAAATTGAATTTGACCCATTTATAGTTTTATTTTATGAACAGATTTTTTTCGGTTAAACCTTCATTTGATTTTTCATTATAAGCAAGTCTGGTTAGTTTGGTTAGGTTATGATAGTTTAGTTTTAGAATAAAAAAATTATAAAATAGGATTTCAGGCATTTATAATTTTATTTTATGAACAGAACTATTTTTTCGATTAATAAACCTTCATTAGATTTTTTCATTGTCAGCACGTTTGGTTGGTTAGGTTAGGTTATGACAGTTTAATTTCATAAAAAAAAATATAAAATTGAATTTGAGGCATTTATAATTTTATTCTATGAACAAAAAAATTTTTCAATTACTAAACCTTCGTTATAGTCAATCAGAAGCCTCTAAATGACACTGTTGGCAAAATTAATCCTGAAAAACAAATTGTGCCACCGACAGACAGAAGGAGAGAAGACAGAGACAACAAAAACTACTAGCACTAGCCTAAAAGGAGAGGAAAATATTTGATTTAATTATGTTATTTAATTTATTCCAACATTGTTCCTTTTGATCAGTTTCATGGTGCATAGCATGGTGGAAGGTGCATAGTGCATTATTATGGAGGAAATATGCAAAGGTCATCTAAACGCTTTTAAAAGTAAGGGGGTGGTCATTTATCTGGCGTTAATTGCACAAGATACTGGAATATTAATTTTAAAATTCCTCCGTAATTTAAGTTCTTATATATTCATCATGCTGGTTATCAGTCTTACTGTAATTGGATAATAAACATTTTCATTGACAAATTTTATGCCAGGTTCAGATATTATGTTGTACTTATTTATTTGCATTCACTCTCACTGCAATATTGTGAATAAAATTATGGCCTTCCGTCGTCAAGGCCACATTATGACGATTGACGACAGACATAGGAGCAGCTGCAGCAGAAGGCACCAAGGCAATAGTTTACTTCCACCATGACATGAGACAGCCGGTGAGCCAGAGCCCAGAGCCGATACTAAAAAGTCGATGTCTGTCATCCAGTACAAAACAAGCTCGATATTTAACCGAATGTCTACCATATCGTTGTGAACCCAGCGCTATCCACGCTAAACAGCTTGGAAAAAGGATGACACACAGCTGATAACTCAATCCTGTGCGTTGAGGCTTTTTATGTGAAGCAGTTGATTATAGAGTTACACCAGGCATTATGTTTTATCATAGATAAAACATACTCCCGTTTTATCATAGATAAAACCATAAAACCTATGGTTTTATGTAGACTTCTCATCCTATTGTAAATTTTGAAGCACGTTTTTCGTGTCTAGTTCATGTACGTGACACAAAGGCGCTAGTGTCGACGAAACTTTGTTTCTATTATTTTAGGGTTAATTTCTTGATTAATTTATGCTTTACTGTTTGGTTATACTGTATAACTAGGGGACAAGTTATTGTTTATGATTAGATCGTATTATTTGGCTAAATGAGGTTTTAAATGGCTGTAATAACGGGAAACAAATTGTAAACAAAACACGACCTCTACATAAACCGTACAGAACTAACAATAAAATTGTCTTCAGCTGTTCCATTAGGATGAGAAATCTACTAAGGGAGTATGTTTATGGTTTTATCTAATCCTTACTATTTCCTTGTTATTAGCGAATTTCCCTAGGGAAGTAAGCTATTACCGTAGGTGGCATGGTAAGACCTAGGCCCGGGACCGATTTACTTTTTCATTTTGATGTCCCCAGAGGCCAAAAACACCATTCGTTCAAATTTTTATATTATGTAGCCTATATGTGTGTGTGTGTGTGTCCGTGAACGCGACAACTTGAGTAATTTTTGTCCGATTTTGATGAAATTTGGTTTAAAGGTGTAAAGCAGGATAAACTTGAATAAGTTCGCGAAACAGCATGATCGGACTATAAGAACGGGGGTGTATAGGGGGTTGTATGGGGTAAAATAGGTTTTTCCCATTTTTGACCCAAAAAAACACAAAATTTCACAATTTCTTTATAAACCATTATGTAGAGCTAAGAAAAAACTAATTTAGTATATTGAAGCGTTATTATGCGCCTAAGGGCTACGGAGAAAAATAAAAAAAAATTGTAATTTTAAAATCCCCATGTTATTCTTATGGAGAATAAGTCAACTGTTGTAGTTTGCTTGTTTATGCACATATTTTTATCAAATTTGGAAAATACATTAATTTCTTACTAAACTACAGTCCTATTAACATTTTACATTAAAAAAACAATTGTTTACCCACCCTATTGCAGCAAACCTAAGTACTCGTTAAACTAATACTCGTTTGCAACTGTTTAAATACAGGTTTAAAACTGTTTTGAAACAAGTTTACACTGTTATAAATCTGTTTAAAACTGTTTTGAAAAAAGTTTACAACTGTTTTAATAAAAGTTTACAACTGTTTTGATAAAAATTAACAACTGTTACAACTGTTTAAATACAGGTTTACAACTGTTTTGAAACAAGTTTACGACTGTTTTAAAACAAGTTTTCAACAGTTTGAGAATACAGGTTTACAACTGTTTTAAAACAAGTTTTACAACTGTTTTGAAACATGTTTAACAACTGTTTTAAAACAAGTCTTACATCTGTTTTGAAACAGGTTTACAACTGTATTAAAAACAAATTTACAACTGTTTTAAACAAGTTTTACAACTGTTTTGAAACAAGTTTACGACTGTTTAAACAACAAGTTTACAACTGTATTAAAACAAGTTTTCAACTGTTTCAATACAGGTTTACAACTGTTTTGAAACAAGTTTACACTGTTATAAATCAAGTTTACGACTGTTTAAATAACAAGTTTACAACTGTATTAAAACAAGTTTTCAACTGTTTCAATACAGGTTTACAACTGTTTTGAAACAAGTTTACACTGTTATAAATGAAGTTTACAACGGTTTTGAAACAAGTTTACAACTGTTTTTAAACAAGTTTACAATTGTTTGTAAATAAGTTTACAACTGTTTTGAAACAAGTTTACAACTGTTTGTAAATAAGTTGACAACTGTTTTGAAACACGGCGCATTTGGCCGGGCACAGTGCCCGGTCACAGGTCACAGGGCCCGTCCAGGACGGGTTCGTCACAACGGCCCGGGCCATGTCACCAGCCCGTCGGCACCGGGCGACATGTATAGCCCTGTCCAATAAGACCATGGACATTAACCCGGGCGACTTGGCGGGCTCTTCTCCATCGGGCTGGCCGATTTGTCCCGGGCGATTTTGCACACCCGGGCCACCCGGGCTCGGGTACAGTGCCCGGGCCATGTCACCGGCCCGTCGGCGCTGGGCAATTTGTATAGCCCTGTCCCACCGGGTCACCGTCATTGGCCCGGGATTCTTAACGAGCCCTTCCCCGCCGGGTCATAGACAAAACATACTTTCTTAGGTACAGTATTTGATTTACGTAGCTAAATAAGGTTATAACAAAAAGCATGTTGTCTTAAACAATTTATCGGTGAATCACATTCATGGATCCATCTCATGTATGGAAAACTTAAACAGGTCCACGATGTAGGAAGTGGTGAAAAAAGTAGTAAAGACGAAAAGTGTGGAGTATGGAAAAAAGTAGTAAAGGCGAAAAGTGTGGAGTATGGGGAACGTTTGTGGCAGTTATATAATTGTATCTTAAAAACTAAAATGCTATGGAAAGGGGGGGGACAAGTCCACGTAGGAAGTGGTGAAGGAAGTAGTAAAGGCTAGCAGTGGGAAGTGTGGGAACGCTTTGGGGCAGTTAGATTAACGTATTTAAAAAACTAAATTGCTATATGGGAAGGATTAAGGGAAACATGTCCACTACGTAGGAAGTGGTGAAGGAATTATTATATGCTAACAGTGTGGAGTGTGGAAACGTATTTTGTATTATATTTATAAACATTTTTTTCATTTATTGCTTTTTTAAAACCCATGAAACATGATCGCTCATCGCTCCGCTCAACTGGTTTTCACTGATGAAAGCAATCATAGTAAATTAAATAAAATGTATTTTTTTTATTCAAAGCAAATTATTGGCAGCAGACTGAAAAGCCATACCTTAATAAAATTCATGAATAAACCTATATACTTATTTATAAATATACAAAATGAAGCTCTAAACTGGATAAAGAATTACCTGATGGACAGACAACAATTCGTAGAAATAAACAACCAAAATAAAAACATAATAACTACAGTCAAATCCTCACTTAAAACAACAGCTAGGGGAATACCACAAGGATTGACCCTGGGACCCCTATTATTCATAATATACATCAACGAACTCCCAAATCAACTTCAAAATGGCCAAAAATGTATCCTGTTTGCAGACGACACTACGCTAATTATCCCCACAAAATCAAGTGCAAATAATTGCCAAAA